GAAGTGAGATGAACATTCATTTGATACTGTGTAACCAGAGCATCTGCAGCTCTTTCTACTAAAGCATCAACAGTTTGAGCTGCATTTACTTGATTGGCCATTGCTATGCCTGCAGTCACAGCAGCTGCTGCTGACACTGCTATAGCAGTCACAATTGCAGCTGTAATACCAAAATCTCTTTTTTGTCTAAATAAAGTGGCTATAGGAAAATCTTCTGGATCTGCTTCCACGGGAATTGGCACAAAAGTAGGCATACGTACTATTAAGGCCAAAGATAAAAAACCATTCCAGCATTCAGCTAAGTAGCAGGTAGTATTACTTGCGCTACAGCTCAGAAAACTTGTATTATTTTCAAACTCAGCCAATATAAAGAAAAATGATTGACATGGCATAAAAACTGGAGGAAAAGATAGATCAGGGGGACACCAAGGCAAAACTTTCTTGTATGTTGCATTACGGGTGGGCCATTGTGATTTCCAAGGTGTGGTAACATTACTCCGGAGCAACATGGTAGTTATATTTAATAAGGCCCCGTCATTATTTGAAATATTTCCTGAACCTGCCATCGTACCAGTTGACACCTGTTTTAGTGCCTCACTCAAGACTCCAGTACCAACCTCGCTAAATGCGACAGGATCCACCCAGTTTGTTAATGTGGCGTTCCTGAGTACGATACACGGAGTATGAGCTTTAGCCTTAGTAGTAAAGCAGAGAGTAAAATTCAATGGAAATGCAGTGGCATTGTATAAAACAGGCTCTTGTCCCATAGGCATAGCACATGGGACTTCCATAGATCATTGAGTAGAAGTAAACAATGGCAACACGGTAGAATTGGCATGAACGGGCATAGGTACAGGCCAAGATCTAACTATTGCCCATAACTGAATACTTAGCACTTCTTCATAAGTCATCATGACTAAAAGTGTCCACCACAGCTTCTTCATTCTTCTTAGAAAACATCCTTGGCTCCGCAACAATTCTGGTTAATCTCACTGGCACCCAGATAGGATTTTCTTCATTCTGTGGGAAAACACAAACAGCTCCCCTGGATCTGGTAAGCACTGGATCCGGGCCTCTCCATGAGTCTGTCAATACATCTTTCCATTTCACTGTTTCCTGTGTCTCTTCCACAGGATTACTATGCCTGTCAGCAGCAGTCAGCCCCTTCTCATCAAGTTTTAAAAAATTAAGTGTAAATAGAGTTAGAGACAAGGCTGCTTTAGGAGCCAGTGATGATTCCATAATTCCCCCTTTTTGTTTTTGCAGATACATTTTCAAAGTCAGATTTGCTCTTTCAATGATGCCTTGACCTGAGGATTGTATGGCAATCCCGTACGATGCTGCACTTGCATACGCACACAAAATTGTACAAAAGTTTTAGCTGTATACACAGGCCCATTATCAGTTTTTAGCAGACGCGGTTTACCCCACACTGCCCAAGCTTCTAAACAGTGGGCAATAACATAAGAAACCTTTTCTCCAGCCATAGGCATAGCATGGATAATGCCAGAGCAAGTATCTATAGATACATGAATATATTGTAATTTCCCAAAATGTTTAATGTGTGTCACATCCATCTGCAATCCTTTCACTATCCTTGGCACACAAGGGGATGGAGAAAAAACAGTCCTTTATATCTATTACTATGATAGGCCAGGAGGCTGGCAAAGATGATAAAAGCGGCAACCCTCGCTGTACTGGGCCCATGATCTGCATTTGTTGATTAATAGCACACAGATCATGCAGCAACCTCCATTTCCCTGATTTCTTTCTGATAACAAAAATAGGTGTATTCCAGGGAGAAACAGATGGTCTTACATGCCTTAAGGATATCTGCAAATGCAAACTTGTGAATGTAACAATTTTCCTCCCCTCTAGAGAACTACAGGCCGCTGTCAGCCATCTCCAGCTCAGATGTGCCCTGCTTCCAACACACACAAGGCTGGCAGGCTTCCTGTCAGCCACAGCTAGCCCCTGGCTTTCTCCCACTGTTTACAGATGTAGTTCTTGTGCACAGGTGCCACTAGCTGGTACCCTAGGCCTGTCCCCAACCCAGTGGAGGTGGGGCTGCAGGCCCAGAGCTGGCAGTGGAAACTGACAGAGCTGATGACAGACATCTTACCAGGTAGGGTCATCAGGAAGCACACAACACTAACAGTCCCTGGATTCTCCCATGGCATCCTTCCCTGTGGCTTCAGTTCTGTGGCAAGTCCACACTCCATGCCACAGGCAATGGATGTTTCATAATTCTGCTTCTACTCTTAGCTTTAGGACAGAAGCTCTGCCAGAGGGACAAGCTTAAAGATCAAAAGTGATTTAAACATTTTACCTCAGAGTAATTTTTTTTTTAAAAAAAAGGATTCAGGTTTCTATTTACTACTCTAGCTTACTTCTCTGCACTGCCCTACTAGGACCCCTGCCACTCTGAAGTCAGGGGCAGCGAAGTACCACTGCCCTGCTCACTATGAGCCAAGCTAGCATGCTAGTGTCCTTATCTGCTCAGCCACCAACTCTTTGGCAGCGCTTAGCTTTTCAGAGGAAAGTATCCTAATGATGGCTTTGACAGGCTGAGTAGGCGGAGGAGCCTGTGCAGCTTCAAGATAAGTTGGAGGAACTGAGGGTGTCTTAATGACGGCCTCCGATCTGCCGCTTGCTGCCAACGGGGGTTTCTCTTTCTCTTTTCTTTTCCCTCTTCCTCACAGTTGTTCTCTCTAGCTGTTTTACTAGGGCATGTAACTCTCCTTCTGAGTCTGTAGACTCTGAGTCCTCAAGGCTAGGGTACAACGGCTCCGTTTTCTTATCTCTCTTCTCACTTGCAGCCCTCTCCAATCTCTGTTTCTGTAACATTTCCAAGGCCGTTTGTCCCTCTTCGACTACCTTACAGCATTTCTGATCTTCCAAACAGCTTCTCACTAACTTTTGCAAAGTTCCCTGTTCCTGAGCAAAGTCAAAGTCTCTGCCCAGCTTATCCCAGCAGGAGACTGTGAGATTTCCTGATACCTCGAACCAGGGTGCAATGGTATCACACTCATTCAAAAATGTTAACAGAGTTGAGCTTTTTATCTTTAAACTCCTTGATAAAAGCAGCTCCTGAAGAGCCAAAATATTGGGTGCGACTGAGCAGCACCCATAACTAAATTCCTCTCAAAGATTCACTTTCGGTTTGCTACACCATGAACTTACCTGCTCTCTCTTTATCTACATTGAAGAGCAAAATAGCTGCGCTCCTCGGACTTTATTGTCCCAATTCACCTGGGAATTTTATCTCCTCTTTTGTCGAAGACCTTGACTTTATTGTCCCATGTAACCTGGGAGCTTTATCATTCCTTCCCGGAAACTTTATCGCCCCTACTCTTATTTCCTTTTCTGTTTCAGACATACTATCTTGATGTTCAGCCAGTGCTTGCCATCCTTCACGTACTGCCTTTTCACAACGCTGATCCTGACTGCATGCCTTAACTAGTTTCCACAGTGGCCTCGTTCCTGCTTTTAATTTTCCTTTCTCTGATTCTCTCTGAATATCTCTTCCTAACTTCTCCCAGCTACCAATGATAAGTGACCCAGTCGGGGCAAACCACGGAGCAATCCGATCTATTTCATCAAAGAATCCTTTTAATGTAGTATCTGATACTTTCAGTCCTCGTTTTTCATAAGCTCCTGCAAGGCTTTAATGACAGGCGCAGAGTGTCCAACTCCCATGTTGCTCTTTTATCTACAAGAGACTGATACACAGGTCAGCTTTCGTGGTTATCTACCCCTGTCTTACATCCTCTGTCAGAACGCTACTCCCAACAGATGCACTCATGCCCTGGGCGATGACAATTCAAGCAGTAACAAATCACCAAAACTAAAATGAAAACAAGCAGTAGTATGACTGCAGCAACCACTGGATGTTCTCCCAGAACCAGCATGTCTTTTAGGGGCTTACCAGTACCACCGCTCCCGTGCGCTCAGTTCTGAATCCTCCGGTAGCTAAATCGGGGTTCTTCGCTGGTGCCTTGTGATGTAAATTTCCGGGTTTCGGCACCACTTGTCACGCCCACCTCACCAGCAAGGAAGACGTCACAACAGGATTCTTCTTCATGCACTTTATTGGGCAAATACTCTTGATTGCAAAGTGAAAGACCCCGAAGCCCCAAATGGGTGCTGCTTAAATAGTTATCACAACTATGTATAAGTGTCTAATTGGTGCTTCTTGCAGAACTCATTTACATACTGCTCGGGAGGGTGAGGAGATGTGTCTGAAAGATACGCATGCTCACAGCAGGTGTTTACAACCCTGAAAACAGTTGTTTTCCACCTCAGACACAGGAAACAGGTGCCATCTTCTAATGGCGGCTCCTTACAACCTGAACTTTCCTGATCTTGACACAGAGCCATCAAAGACTCATCTTCTATCAGAATCTTTCTCCTACAAAGCTAGGTAATCTAGCTTAAATCTTGGGCCATTACTCTGGCTCAGGATTCCTGGTGGGTGCCATGCAGTACCTGACATAGTGTTCATACTTTGGGAAGGTTCGTTTCCTTCTCCTATGGGTATACAGATATTCAGAAGTGTTGAGAAAATTAACTATAGAGGCACAGTGGATTTGAACTCTGTTGTAGAAAACATTAGCTGACTTCCAAACATGGCAGTCAAATGTGCCAAATTTGGTGGCATGCCTGTCTATTTCCTTTCAGAACCTAGTAGTGACACAGAAACACACACACACACACACACACACACACACACACACACACACACTAACATCTAGCAGAACACAGAAAAACACACAATCATATTCATATAAGAAATGTACTTCAGAAAGGGAGAATACACACACAGATCAATGCTTCGGCAAATAAATAGATAAAATTGAGCTGACAAATACACACCCATTCCCAGAAATCAATAGGCATTTCTCCCGATGCCCTTTTGGTCTGTGTATCTGTTTTATGGTGTCCTTGCCAACATCTAGGGGGAGGGTAATGGAATACCAATTGAGTAGGTCACCAGCAGCCCAAGGAGGAACTATGGTGCCCACACTCCTGGACAATGAGATACAGGAGGTGGGAATAGCTGGAGTTGCATAACCCAGTGGAGAAGTGGGTTCAGCATCAAAAGTTGTGTTAGAGTGTACACTGAAACAGACTCTGGATAGACCAGGACCATGGAGGCTAGTGTCCTGCTCCTCCTTGCTGTCGTCCTGAGCTTCTTTCTCCTCCTGGTCAGGGGCCATGCAAAGGTCCATGGTCATCTTCCACCAGGACCCCAACCCCTACCACTCTTGGGGAACCTCTTGCAGATGGACAGAAGTGGCTTCCTTAAGTGGTTCATTCAGGTGAGTCCTATATGGAGACTTAGTATGGGTTTCCCCCTGCTTTTGTTTTGGAGGTCACTCAGTGGAAAGAAGTCTTGATTCAGTGGGAAGATTGCTAATGGGAGGGTGAGATGGTGACTGGTGATGTATGCTGACTTCTGTTCTAGATGACAGGTGAATCTTGTTTTATTGGAATTCTGTGGGGTACTTTGCCTGGATGTATAAAAGTATTGAGGTGTAGTTATGGAGATATGTAAGAGTGTAGACTTGCATTCTTTAGGGCTTGTCAATTCCAGAAGAGAAAAGAAAATATCAGTGGCACCAACAGTAAGGTATTCTTTTCCTATCAAAAGAGATTAACTTGAGGTGTTCCAAGAAACAGAGCAGAAGAGGCAGGGCAGTAGGTGGGTAGGTAGGTAGGTTGGTTGGAAGAGCTAATCAGATATAAACACTATGCACCATGCAAGCATTTGATCCTGGCACCATCTTTACCAGTCTTTACAAGTTGAACTACATGTTTAATTACCACTTGTTCTTTACTAATCAATTAACGTCTCCTGCTCTTGTTGTAGGGGACCAAACTGCTCATTTGGTACGTGTGTGTCAGGGGCCCTAAGTCTAGCCAATGCTTGCTCTTTGGTTGGTGATTCAGTCACTGTGAACTCCCAAGGTTCCAGTTTAGTTGAATGTGTTGGTCTTCCTTTGGACTACCTGTCCTCTTCAGGTCCCTCAATCCATCTCAGAACTGTTTGATAAGACTCCTGCACACCATCTAATGTTTGGCTGTGAGTCTCTGCATCTGTTTCCCAGGGCTTTGGGGTAGAGCCTCTCAGAGGTAGGTTATGGTAGGCTTTTGTCTGCAAGCATAACAACGTATTATTAATAGTATCAGGGATTGGTTTTGCCCATGGGATGAGTCTCAATTTGGGGCAGTCATTGGTTGGCCATTCCTTCTATCTTGTTTCTATTCCTGTCCCTGCACATCTTGTAGGCAGCACACATTTTGGGTCCATGGTTTTGTGGGTGGGTTGCTGTCCTTATCCTTCCACTGGGAGTCCTGCCTGGATAAAGGAAGTGGTGAATTCTGGATTCATATTCACCCACTGCTAGGAATCTCAGCTAGAATTGTCCCATAGAACTTCAGTGGACAGCATTATTCCATGTCTCTGGCAAGTCCCAGAGATTACTCTCCCTACTGCCATTTTCCCTTCTCTCTCTTTAACTCTACCTACATCTCACTCCCCACTCTACTCCTTCTAGTCTCCTCAACCACTCAGATGTCTCCTTCCATCAACCTCTGATATTTGTTTTGTTTCCCCTTTTGAGAAAAATTCAAGCATCCTCCTTGGGCCCTCCTTGTTTTTTGGCTTATTTTGGTCTGTTGATTAGAGCATAGTTATCATGCACATTATGGATAATATCCACTTATAAGTGCATACATACAATGTATGTCATTTTTGTGTGGGTCACTGCACTGATATTCTCTAGTTCCATCCATTTGCCTGAGAAATTTATGATGTCCTTGTTTTCAGTGATGTAATAATATTCCCTTGTGTAAATAAACCATGTTTTCTTTATCCATTCTTTACTTGAGGAACATCTGAGTTGTTTCCTGTATTTTATATTATTTGTGGGTAGTGCGATGGGTATTGTCTCCTTAACTTCTTTCTCAATCTGTTTATTATTCATATGAAGCATGACTACTGTTTTCTTTGTGTTACTGAGTTACTTTTGTATCCTGCAACTTTGCTGAAAGTGTTTACCAGCTGTGTGAGTTTTCTTTTAGGACTTTTGACGTATGATACTTTGATATCTTTTCCAATTCATGTCCCCTTGATCTCCTTGAGTTTTCTTATTACCTGAACTACAACTCTAAGTACTATTTTGAAGAGATGGAGAGAATGAGAGGGTGGACAACCTTTTCTTCCAGAGGGAACTGAGACTACCTTGAGGTCTCACATGGCTCCTCTGGACTTCAGAGCGAGGTCAGAGCTAGATAATGGAGTTCAGGGCACCACATAACTCACCTCTGCAGGTTGTGTCCTGGTCAGACCCAACTGGCAACAATCTCAACTTCCTGCTACCCCTTGGTTTAGATTAGATGGTCCACCTGTATCAATGCTGTAATCATGTTTTTAAATTGATTTGGGACAATGTCATCCTATATCCAGGCTAATGATCCACCTGATTAAATATATCATGTGGTAGAATGACAATATGTGTCATAGATCTGGCCATAAGTGTTTTTCTTTTAAAAAAATTATAAATCATTCCATTAGTTTACATCTCAAATGTTATCCCACTTCCTGGTGACCCCCTCCACCAATCCCTATCCCATAATATCCCACTCCTTGGTTACACTTTTGCCACATCCCCATACCACATCTGCCCTTCCCCCCCTTTTTGCTTGTATGAGAGTGCATACCTATCCACATACACTCGACTGCTTCATGGTTCCAGCCTCCCAGTACTCTGGGGGATCAAACCTCTCTGGGACCAAGGGCCTCCCCTCTCATTGCTGTCAGGCAAGGCCATCCTCTTCTACATGTATATCTGGAGAAAAAGATCCCTTTAGGTACATTTCTTTGTTGGAAGCCTAGTCACTGTGAGAACTGGGTTGTCAGGCCAGCCTATGTTGTTCTTCCAATGGGGTTGCAATCCCCCTTTGGTCCTCCAGTCCTTCTGCCAACTCCCTGACCAGGTTCCTTGTGTTCAGTCCAATGGTTGTCTCCAAGCATCAGTCTCTGCACTGGTCAGTTTTTGCCTAGTCCTCACTACCACAGTTGGTTCCTGTCCCCAAACACCTCTTGACCACTTCAATGTGTTGGGTTTGTTGTCTTCAGACATGATATATCTTCAGGTGGGGTTGTTCCCGAGTTGGCAGTTCTTTCAGTCTCTGTTCTATGTTTTTTTCTGTTTTCCTTTTGGAAAGAAATGTTTTGGATAAAAAGAAAAATTGAGATGGATGGCTGGCTCCATCCTTTGAACAGGGGCTATGCCTATCTACTGTAGGTGGTCTCTGCTGGTGAGAGAGAAATTTTTTAAATTAGCCTGAAACAATCAGAACAGGCTCTCTGATTTATTAAAACAAATAGTCAAGATGCAAGCAGCAAGATTGCTAGCCCAGGACCCTAGGTAATAAGTCACGAAGCTAGGGCCCCTAGACAATGAGTCACAAGGCTAGAGAACAAAGGCCTATTGAGCTTCGAAATCGGCTGGCCATTAGAGATAGGGAGGATACACAAGGACAAATTCCTGAGAGAAACATGAACAGAGTGAGTCATGGGCCAAGACCCCTTATCCGGCCATATGGTGTTTGCTTAATCCCCGCCTTGAGGTCCACACACAATGGCCCAGGAAACCATGGTTTAAATTTCACCAGATGTTCCGTAAGAGAACAAGAACCCAAGGTTGTTCCCGTGAGATCTTTCCCTGGAGCTGCTTTAGTAATCTGCTGATGTTCAAATATATGAAACAGCCAATTGTGTGTAAGCTCGCCAAGACTTCCTGCTCTCCCCAACCCTTGCCTATATAAACCCCAAGCTGCTGGGCCTCCGGGTCGACTCCTCTGTCTCCTGCATGAGATATGTGTCAACCCACAGCTCCATCAATAAACTGCCTCGTGTGCTTACAGCAAGACAGTAGTACGTGTGTCCCTGGGTGTGCGCCATCCCGAGACTTGAGTGGAGATCTCCCTTCGGGGGTCTTTCACTGGTTCTATCCCCTTATTCTCTGTGTATTACAGTGAAAGTCAATCCCATTGGGTCTTGGGAGCCTCATGTTTCTCTGGTGTCTGGGGGCACTCCAGTGTCTATCCCCAATTTCTCATCCCCTCCACTACCTATTTTTATTTGAATTCCTGACCCTCTGTACCTCTCTCAAGTCTCTTCAGATTCTGATACTACCACACTTATTTCCTACTTCTCCTTTGTCCCTCCATTGTACACCTCTACTTCCATCTCCAACAATCTTCCTGTTCTCCAGTTAGTGCCAGATGAAGCATCCACCCCCTGATCTTCCTCCTTTCTATGCTCCATATGGTTTGTAGGTTGTGTCATATACATTGTGAGTTTTGGTGTTAGTATCCACTTATTAATGAGCTCCTTTGTGTCTGGGTTACCTCACTCAGAATGATATTTTTTTAGTTCCATCCATTTGCCTGTGAATTTCTTGAAGTTCTTGTTTTGAAGTACTGCAGAGTATTCCATTGTATATAGCTACTACATTTTCTGTATCCATTCTTCTGTTGAGGGACATCTGGGTTGTTTCCAGGTTCTGACTATTATAAATAAGGCTGCTATGAACATAGAGGAGCATGTGCTCTTGTTATAAGTTGAAGCATCTTTTGGGTATATGCCCAGGAGTGGTATAGTTGTGTCTTCAGCTAAGGCTATAAGTGTTTTAAAAAATGTTCTTCCCACATGTTGAACATGTCAAGTTGACATCCTATTTAATTTGTTATTTTAAAAATATTCTTTGAAAACCTAATTCCTTCCTTTCTCATTCTTGTGTCTATGTGTTCTTCTGAAGCCCCTTTCTACTTGGAAGCCAATATGGATGCTTCAACCAGTATGGATGTGGAGTATATTTATTGGAACATGAGCAACTTATGAGCAGATACACCACTGAAGAAAGTTGAACTTTCCCCACATATTCTAACTGCCCATAGATTTGAAATAGGCGCTGATGATACTCTGTCATGATAGCATGACTTGTTGGACCTTTCCCCTGTAGTGAGTCTGACATTCTAGTTCAAACAATACATCTTCAGTGAATCTTCAGAATGAACACAAGCTTATCATCCAGCTGTAGATCAGTTATCATCATAATGGGTTCCTGTCTTACTCCCTTGTAGTCACTATGTTCTCAGCATTCTAACAAGTACAGTAACCTTACCTGGGTATGAGCATTACTGAAATGTAACAGATGTAAACAAATATGCTTCTGTGTTAACATATAGTCAGCAAGTTTCATTCATATCAGTGATCTGAGCTGTAGATTGTTAGTACATTGTTGCATAAGAATCAATGGAGTGACCCGACTAAAACAATAAATACAACTAAATCCAACATGTGTATAGATGTTTTCCATAGAATTATTTCCTAAACAACTTGGGATACTGACCATTTCCATAGCATCTAATTTTTATTAGCTTCATGAAACTCTAAACTCAGCTAAAGGTCTCAAGAGGATGAGGGTGGGTAATTTGCATACATGTACCATTTTCTTCAAGGGCTTTCAGCACTGGGAGGTTTTGAATTCCAGTGATGAATTCCCTGTAGATGCCCAGAGATATTTGTACTGCCAGATAATTCCCGAGTGGTCTGTACTGTAGACATGATTGACAGTCAGGACCACCCCTAGTGATCATCCATTTCCCCTTCCAAGTAACCCAGTGAAAGGGTCAGGTTTGTTTTGCCTACATGTTGTCAGAGGCATTGATCAGGTTTAAGCTGGATCACAGGAAGGATGGTTCTTAGATGAGATGCCAGGGACATCTGGTCAGGTCAGATGGAAGGTCATAGACATGGATATAATATAAATGTGTGTGTGTGTGTGTGTGTGTGTGTGTGTGTGTGTGTGTGTGTGTATCCACCTCCATATCTACAGCAATCTATATATTTTGAGGTATGGTCTTAGGTAGCCAGGCTGATCTCCAACTAAATATGTTGCCAAGGATGATTGCTGATTCTTTGGCCTCTGCTTCCCCAGTGCCAGGATTATAAGCATGTGTTGCCTTTTCTCCCCAACTCTACAGTACTGGTGCACTGATTAGGACATCTTATCAATCAATACAGACTCAGTGATTCAATAACCCTGCAACTCTTAGGTTCTCAGAAGGAGAAATGTGGCCAGGGCAGGAGGTGGTTATTTATCAATCTGTTACTAAGTGTTTTAACAGTTTAACAAGAACTTTTGTGCTTGCTAATCACAACCCTGTTACCCTTATGCTTGGCAGCTTCGAGAAAAACATGGAGATGTGTTCACAGTGCACTTGGGACAGAGGCCTGTTGTTGTGTTGTATGGGACACAGACAATAAGGGAGGCTCTGGTGGACCATGCTGAGGCTTTTTCTGGCCGGGGGACAATTGCTGCAGTTCAGCCAATTATGCAGGACTATGGTGAGATATTGGACAGTGTGGAGTAAATGCTATGACCCAGGAAAGTGAGCTGAAATGTGAGGCTCTGGGGAATGCCTGGGGATTCTCTCATCTACAAATGTAACCTACCCACCTATGCTTCTCCTACCTTCTTAGGTATAGTCTTTGCCAATGGAGAACGCTGGAAGACTTTTCGTCAATTCTCCCTGGCGACTATGAGAGACTTTGGGATGGGAAAGCAGAGTGTGGAGAAGAGGATGCAGGAGGAGGCCCGATCTGTGGTGGAGGAACTGAAGTCATATCAGGGTGAATCTCAAAAAAAGTGTTCAATTCTGTTTGATCAATGACAGCCCTCCAACCACCAGGGTTTATTACTCTATCTGCACTACAAAGGCAACAGACAGCAGGCAGCAGGCAGCAGGCAGCAGGCAGCAGGCAGCAGGCAGCAGGCAGCAGGCAGCAGGCAGCAGGTAGCAGGCAGCAGGCAGCAGGCAGGACGTCCTGATGGTTTCTCGAACACCTGAGACTAGAAGTCTGAGAAGTGATGGAGGAAGACTGGCAGATGGGAGTGGAATGGGCAGGGATTGTGAATTCACACTGACAATTACTGAACCTTTCTCTGTCCTTTCCTGCCACTGGGAGTTAACTGTCAGCTCAGAGTCAGAATAGTGTGCCCCAGTCAATGAGGACCTGGTGGGGGGGGGCAAAAGAATGAAGGGACAAGAGACTCAGAGAATCAGAGCAAGTCGAGGGATTTGATCAAGCCCTCAAATTTTACTTTCAAGTGGCAGGTTATAAAGGCATAACAAAATGGGAAGTTTAGGCAAGTATCATTGCTTAAAGCTATCCCACTATTGTATCCTCATTGCCTAACACCATCCCACTAGGAACTTAGTGAACATAGCCTGCCTTCCTGTGTATATAAATAGCATCACATCTTATTTACAGCACTGAGGGAAATTAAACAAAACAATACAAGCATCACTGAGTGTAGGGACAGGCTCATCATATGTGCCAATGGGGTAGCAGGTGCTTCAATTCTTTGAGTAGTGAAAGGGGCAGCCTCACAGAGATGTGGCTGATGCCTAATGTTCCTCAGGTCCTTGACCACATGTCTCTTATCCTGCCTCCACATCCTCCAGGAGCTCCCCTGGATCCCACCTTCCTCTTCCAGTGCATCACAGCCAACGTCATCTGCTCCATTGTTTTTGGAGAGCGCTTTGACTACACAGACCACCAGTTCCTGCGCCTGCTGGAGCTGATACAGCAGAACTTTACACTCTTAAGTTCAATTTCCAACCTGGTCAGTGTATGGAAAGAGAGGAACATCCAAGGCAGAGTTTTGAAGAAGCTGATTAGTGGATGAATGAGGGAGTATTATCTTAGGGGTGAAAGAAAAGCAAAGACAGTATTCAGAGACAAGGAGGCTGACACCTGATGCAGGGCATGAGTGATGGTGAGCAAGATGCAGAGACTTGAATTTAGAAATACAGAGCCATACACATAGCTATGAAATGATAAAGTGGGTGATGTGGGTATAGACCGACAGTAGAAGACTTGATTTTCATGCATGTGTCCCAGCTCTTCATATCCTTTGGGAGGTGGTACACAACATGGGCAATTCTAGCATTTGGAGCCAGGGAGATGTGAAATTCAGGGTGATCCTTGGCCAGACTTGCTTATATGAGACCCTGTGCCCATAAACCAAAAACCCAGAAATTAAAACAAAGACACTTCAGTAAAGGACATTGTGAGAGAGAGCAGAGGAAAGGAAAAGGGAGGTACAGAGAATGCAAGAGAAAGCTTAGTGATGGATTCAAAACTTCAAAAGCATGCATGTGTATAATGTACATGAATGAGGTGAGAGAGTCAGAGTGAGAGAGCAAGAGAGTGAAAGTAGTGAGAGAGAGAGGGGAAAGAGAGGAAGAGAGAGACTGAGACAGAGAATTTGTGTAATTTTTCATCAAATTTGGGGACCTAATGTTAGGGATGATGGTCTCTTAGAGTTAGTGCAGGACACACTAAGACTCCAACCTCTTAGCACAAATGAGATTTATTCCTCTGGAGATACCAGTAGGAGGTGAGGCTTCAAATGCAGAAAAGCAACAGCAGCAGGAGCAGCAGGAGCTGCAGGAGCAGCAGGAGCAGCAGTAACAGCAGCAAGAAGGTATTTCTGCAAGTTAGCATTTTTAAGGGGAAATAGGAAGTTTGTCTAGGGTAAGTTCTTAAATCCTGACTGCACATTACCCAAATAATAAATTTTGATAGTCAGTTCTTGGTATTTTGTCTCAGGAATGAGTCAGTGGCCAAACAAGGGAATGGATCTTGTGACCTGGCTTTAGAAATACAATCTAATGGTTAAGCAAGGGGAGAAAGGTCAAAGACAAATTTACTGATACTATGTCTGCCATGTTTGCCATCCTTGGGCCTACCAGAGCCCTTCTTTCTCACTCCTTCCTTCCTTCCTTCCTTCCTTCCTTCCTTCCTTCCTTCCTTCCTTCCTTCCTTCCTTCCTTCTTTCTTTCTTTCCTTCCTTTTTTAAAATTTTTTCTTTTACTTATTCACTTTACAACCATTTACTGTCCCCCCCTTCCTGGGCATCACCTTCCACAATTGTTCTAACATCTATCTCTCCCTTAATTTTCTGAGTGGGTGGGCCCTCTGGAGTTCCCCGAACTTTGGCATTTCAAGTCTCTGTCAGGCTAAGTGCATCCTCTCCCACTGAGTCCAGAGAAGGGAGCCCAGCTACAAGACCATATCCAACATACAGGCTTCAGCTTATGGGGTAGCTCCCACTCCAGTTGTTCAGGACTCACATGAAGACCAACGTGCATATCTGCTACATGTGAGCAGGGAGGCCTAGTTCCAGCCTTTGTATACTCTTTGGTTGGTTATTCAGTCTCTGAGAGCCCCAAGGATCCAGGTTAATTGACTCTGTTGGTCTCCTGTGGCATTCCTATCCCCTTCGGGCCCTGCAATCCTTCCTTCTGTTCTTCCATAAAATCCTCAAGCTTCATCCACTGTTTGGCTGTAGGTGTCTGTATCTGTCTGAGTCAGCTGCTGGGTGGAACCTCTCAAAGGACAACTTACATATGTCTGTAAGCATAACAGAATATCATTAGTAGTGTTAGGACTAGTGCTTGCCCACTGAATGGGTGTCAAGTTGAGCTGGTTATTGGTTGGCCATTCCCTTCGACTCTCCTCCATCCCATGTGTGCTTTTATTACTTGTAGACAGGATAACTTTTGGATTGAAAGTTTTGTCGGTGGGTTGGTGCATCTATTGCTCCACTGGGGTTTCTGTCTGGCTACAGGTGCTGACCCCTTCAAGTTCCCCATCTCCAGTGTAGTGAGTAACAGCTAAGTGATTCTTGAGAGCCTCCCTCATCCCAGATCTCTTCATCCTGGAGATTCCCCACCACCTCACCTCCATCAGTTGCAGATTTTCATGGCCATCTAGCCATCTCTTCAGTCCTTCACATCTGATCCTGAATCCCTCATTCACTTTTCCATCCTCCTTTCCTGTCAGTTCCCTCCCTCAATCTGCCTCTTATGACTATTTGAATTTTTGCTTTTAAGTGAGATTCAGGCTTCCTTGCTTGGGCATTCCTTCTTGTTTACATTCTTTGGGTCTGTGGACTGTAACATCTCTGGTACCTGTATTTTTTGGCTAATATCCACTTATATGTGAGTACCTACCATGCATGTCCTTTTAAGATGATGTTACCTCACTCAGAATAATATTCTGAATTTCCATCCACTTGCCTGCAAAATCCATGATGTCTTGGTTTTCATATTTGAATAGTATTCTATTGTGTAGATGTACTGCACTTTCTTAATTGATTCTTGAGTTGAGAGACATCTTGGTTGTTTCCAGTTTCTGGCTATTAGGAATAAAGCACCTGTGAGCAAATATCTTTTTTGGATATTGATATATGTTTTGGGTATATGCCCATGAGTGGTATAGCTGGGTCTTGAGGTAGAACTCTTTCCAGTGTTTTGAGAAATCACCAAATTATTTCTAAGTGGTTGTATAAGTTTGTCTTCCCACCAGCAATGAAATAATATTGGATCTACATCCTCACCAGCATGTGCTATTACTTGAGTTTTTATGTTAGCTATTCTGACAGGTATGAGGTAAAATATCAGAGTTGTTTTGATTTGAGTTTCCTTGATACCTAAGGACTTTGAACATTTCTTTAATGGAATTGCTTCTCAGACATTTAAGATTTGCATGCATGTTGTGTAAGTGGGTGACATTTCTCAGGGTTTTCATCATTGGTAAGGACCCAAAGAAGAGAGAATGTTGGTCAAGGTTAAGGACAGGCTGTTTATTTGTTATTAAGGTTCTGCTGGAGTATCGGAGGCTATGGAAGTTTAGTCTGTGGGGCTGGACCAGGAAGTAGATTCTAAAGAAAATCCTGGGGATGGATAGTTTCTGGAGCAATCTGTAAGTGGTTTTTGAGTTTTTGGGACAGCTAGACTAGGAATAGAAGTACAGTTCAGAAGGGTAGGGATTTAAATATATATCTTGGGTGTGTATTTAAAACTTTTAATTCTTTTAAGTCCTGGTAGTTAAGAAATGGGAGTCCCAGTTTAAAGAAAAGGGGAGGGGAGATCTCGGTCTGAGGAATAAACAGGTGTGTTCTTGTTGGAGGAAGTGTGTTGCTGGGGTATTCTTTGAAGATTCAAAAGCCCATGCAATGCTCAGTTTTCTTCCTTGTTCTTCATACCTAACTGTGTATCAGGATGTAAGCCTTTAGCTCTGTGTCTGCCTGTCTGCATGGGTGCTTCCTACCATAATGTTAATGAAATAACTTGAAACCATAGGCAAACCCTCAATTAAATCTCTCTATTGTAAGGGTTGCCTTTTCATGGTGTCTTCCAACACATTAAATCAGTGACTAAAGTAGAGCACTGCCCACTTCTTGGGACCTGATAGTTCCAGGTGACCTCCTGGGCCCTTCTTTCTTGCAGATATTTGAGCTCTTCTCTAGCTTCCTGAAGTACTTTCCTGGTACCCACAGACAAATCTCCAAAAACCAACGGGAAATCCTCAACTTCATCAGCCAAAGTGTGGAGAAGCACAGGACCACCTTGGACTCCAGCACTCCACGAGACTTCATTGATACCTTCCTTTTGCGCATGGAGAAGGTTAGTGGTGAATGGATGAGAGAGGAGATGGGTGAGAGTAAACCACCAAAGAGCAAAGTAGAGAGAGAAAGAGAAGACAGAAGAATCCAAGGGATAGTGTTAAATGCTGAGAAATGTTAAGTGGTGCAAATAGAGTGAGACTCAAAGAAGAACAGTGCCCATAAATGTGTGCATCTCCCTGCAAGTCAACCTTGACCATCTCTTCTCTTTCCCATCTGGAACCAGGAGAAGTCAAACCATAATACAGTGTTCCATCACCAGAACCTTATGGTGTCTATACTCAATCTCTTCTTTGCTGGAACTGAGACTACCAGCACCACCCTCCGCTATGACTTCCTGATCATGCTCAAGTACCCCCATGTCACAGGTATGCTCCATGTGAACCATTGGGGAATTTTATAGCTTCCTTTTGCCAGCAGAGATTTGTGTGGATGAATGAGACATGGACCACTTACATCTGAAACTCTGAAGATTTTGGTCTACTTCTATACTAAGGCAGTGCTGTGGGTGGTGAGTGAATGAACACTCAGCTGACCAGTTTTCTATTATTTTCTCCAATCACTAAAAGTTTTATTCAATCATCTGTCCATCCATCCAGTATCTCATTCATTTGTCCATTATGACATCCATTCATCATCCATCCATCCATCCATCCATCCATCCATCCATCCATCCATTCATGTACAAATGCATCTTTCCTTCCCTCCATCCATCTCTTCCTTTCTGCCTTCCTTCAATCTTTACATTCATCTATTATTCATCTTTCTATGCATCTGCCTCTTCAGGCATCTACTTATTCTGTTCACTCACCCACCTATTTGACCACTCATCAATAAACATGTCATCAGCCTCTCCCTTCAGTCATTCTCATACAACTAAACATCAATCTATTCAAAGACCTATTTACTCATTCATCCTTCTATCTTCCTACTAAGCATTTATTCACAAATACTCATATGCACACAAACACAGATGCATGCATGCACGCACACACACACACACACACACACACACATCAACACATGCAGACACCTTGAATCCTTCCAATTAACCACTTATAATTCAACTGATTGTTTGTGTATTTATTAATTCTTTAACCATCAAAGCAGACATTTTATTTACTTATTTGAATGAATCAATTATAAGTGTAGTTCCTTTGATCAGAAGAGTTATATAAACTATTGGCCATCAATTCATTTATACACTCATCTCTCCTATCATCAGGTTCCATTTCCTATTCCTTTGACTAAGTGGCCTTTAAATTCCTAATTTCTTTGTCTATCCATTTTCCTATTCATCCACCAATTGAATCATCTGTTGACCTACAAGTTGAATATATAATCCAGTGCTTAGTGTGTTTCTTTCACTAACTCTTGAACATGTCCATACATTCATTTATCCATTGATTTTCTTATGTATTCATTTCTACATACATATGTATGTTGATGTTTTAATACTTATGTTGATGGCTTAATTTACTAATCAACCTACTTCTCTGTTAGATTTCTGAGGACTAAGCTACAAGCTATTAATATAAAGTTCCATGTTAAGTTGTGGGGTGCATGTGTGTGTTGGTGTGTGTTTCATCAATTCATTGCCAAGATGAGAATTTCTTTTTCTCTCCCTTGCAATCTTGCCTCATCACAGTTGCTCTCAAGTCTCCCTGTACAGTAGCTCTTTGCTGTCTATTATTCCTTCTTTAGTAAAATCCTGTTGAAATGAGGTTAAAGCTTATTGAGGAAGATTTAAAAGAGTTTTAGACATGAGCACAGAAAGATATGCACTTAAAAATGGGACAATTGTTTGCACCCTGAAAGGTCTCAGTTTCTCAGGAGAGTCTCCTTACTTCACTGTTGTCCTGTGTGGTTGGCTGATACTATACAATATCACTGCTACAAAACCTGTAAAGCAGGTCCACTTTCGTCCTTTCCTGTGCAGAGAAAGTGCAAAGGGAGATTGATCAGGTGATTGGCTCACACCGGCTACCCACCCTTGATGACCGCACCAAAATGCCATACACTGATGCAGTCATCCACGAGATTCAGAGATTTTCAGATATTTCCCCTCTCGGTGTGCCACACAGAGTCACCAAAGACACCATGTTCCGAGGGTACCTGCTCCCCAAGGTCAGACCAGCTGCAATTCTTCATTACTACTCCATGAGCATACTCTATGCTCCTTATCACCAACCTCATCCTGTCTTGTGTTTTCCCTGACTTCTGTTTTACTTAGGGACTGACTGCTTTTATATGGGAGTCAGGGTATGTTAATATCTTTGTATCTCATAACTTCTCCTAGAACACTGAGGTGTACACTGTCCTGAGTTCAGCTCTCCATGACCCATGATACTTTGAAAAACCAGACACCTTCAATCCTGAGCACTTCCTAGATGCCAATGGGTCACTGAAGAAAAGTGAAGCTTTTATGCCTTTCTCTGCAGGTGAGACAGACCTGTGATTTCTTTCCTAGACACTAGAGGGAAGGCCCAACATTAAGGATACAAAGAGAAATAGGTCCCTGACAACTGAGTCTATCCTAGCTACCTTGCCTGAACAATCCCATTTAACCTGGCTATAGCCCCATGAGGGGAGTCTCTGAAACTGTCCAGAACCAGACTTCCAAATGAAGACTGTTATTTCCAACATTGGATTGATTTCTATACCAGTCCACAATTGAGTCTGAATAACTGGTCACATTTAATAACAATACAAGAGGCATTATAACTTCTCATTTTGATTCTCTGTTCTATATTTTTAATAGGGTTATTTGATTCTCTGGATTCTACCTCCTTGAGTACTTTGTAAATATTGGAAATTAGTCCTATAAGCATTTCTTTTTATATGCTGTTGCTAGTGAATCTGGCTTGCATCTCGCAGGCCATGGTGGCAGATGATGATGCAAGATGTTGCTAAGTCCTTGGGAAAAGTCTGGTGTAAATATCTGTAAGGCAACTTTTCTCCCTTCTTGTTTAAATAAAAATGAGGAACTAGGAAGGGGTAGTGGTGGAGCATCAGTGCAGTTGTCATGTTCTTTAAACTATGTCCTGCTAAGTTTGGAGTGATGATCTGTTTTTAGAGACTCTAAGAAAATTGGGATGTTGGACAAGTCCTGGGAAAATTGGATGGGTCACTGCATTCTAGGATCTGTGGGATGTTCTTCTGCTAGGCATGGGCAGGCCCAGTAGAAGAGCCTGTGAGAGTAGACAAGTACACCTGTGTGTAGCTTCTCTGGAACTGTTCTGGATGCAGATTTTGTGTAAACATGTGGATTTGGCAGAATGCTGGAACACATATACCCATTAGAGGGAGAAAATTAAGTTAAGTTTGTTAGTGAGAAGACTATTTTTCTTAGGTGTACCATTAAAACCACTAGACCCATGGTCTTGGTAATTGGTTGTGGGGCTTCCCAAAACTATGGAAGGGGGTTGCATCCCACACTCTGGAATAGGCCAAAGGTGAGAAGGTTAGTCTATTGATTGACGAGGGTACTTATTCTGATGGAGTATCTTTAACCTTTAATCGGTGAATCCCACCAAGTATGTTTCCTGAAGCTTATGTGTGTAAATGTGGCTCATTTACACAATGAAGTATTATTCAGCTATAAAAGCAATGAACTCAAGAAATTCTTAGGTAAATGACTGAAATTAGAAAATATCATCCTGAGTGAGGTAACCCAATCACAAAAGAACACACATGGTATTCACTCACTGATAATTGGATATTAGCTTAGAAGCTCACAATACCCAAGATTCAACTCACAGACCACATCAAGCTTATGAAGAAGAAAGACCAAGTGTTGGTGCTTTGGTCCTTCTTAGAAGGAGTAACAAAATACTCAAGGGAGAAAATATGGAGACAAAGTGTGGAACAGAAAATGAAGGAGGGGCAGTCTGGAGACCATTCCACCAGGGTATTCACCCCATGTGTAGTTACCAAAGGTAGATGCTGATGTGGATATCAGGAAGTACATGTGGATAGGAGCCTGATATAGCTGTCTCCTTAGAGTTCTGCTAGAATCTGACATATTCAGAGGTGGATGCTCACAGCTAGCCATTGAACTCATCAAAGGGTTCCCAATGGAGGGGTTAGAGAGAAGTAACTGAAGGAGCTGAAAGGGTTTGTAACTCCGTGAGGAGAGCAACAATACCAACCAACCAGATCTCCCAGGGTCTAAACCACCAGCCTTGGTGCACATAGGGAGGGACCCATTACTCCACCTGTATATGTAGGTGAGGATCGCCTTTTCAGCATAGGTGGGAAAGAAGATGCTTGGTCCCATGAAGGCTGGATGCCCATTGTGGTAGGGAGGTAGGAGTGGGGGGTAGGTGGGGGAAACCCTCATAGAATCAGGAGGAGGGAGGATGGAATAGGGAGTTCCTGGGTGGGTAGGGAGGGGATGGGGTAAGGGGATAACATTTGAAATATAAATAAAATATTCAATTAAAAAAAGGAAAAATTATTTTTAAGTTTACAAAATCGATGCATTTTAGAAATGTGAATTTTGGGCTGTTTTGAAATTGTAGAACAAGAGAGTAAATACCATATTGTGTTATAGTAGAGACTTGGTAAACAATATTTATAAAAATCATGAGCTGTCTTTAAGGTGAGATCAGGGAAGACAGAAATCCTCCATGGAGCAAAAGGGACAAGAAAGATTTTCCCTCTCTATTCAGAAGACAGAATGTACACACATTTAGTAAAATGAAAAACATCTTTAAGTCTATAGTTAAAAGACAACCGAAAGAAACTCAATATCTTGAACTTCTGAGTATGATAGTGGGTCATATAGTTGTAAGTTTTATCAGAGTTAGGATAGTAACTTATCAGAACTTCATTGATTACTGTTAGAACTCTGAACTTTTGGCGCCCTCATATAATAGTAGAATAATGAGGGGAAGAAATCTGAAGAATTTTTGTTCCTTTTTTGTATGTTAAACGACTTTCCTATCACCATCCTAGTTTTTCACATCCTCCAACCTTCACAATATGCATTTACCAAGCTCACAACATTTTCTTGGACCCTAAAAACTGTTTCTTAGATCCCCATAACTTAGGCTTTCATACCCTCAGACCTTGCATATGGCTTACTTCTTTTTCATCTTCAGTTATTTACCATGAGATACAGGTAATTGATCATCAGGAGCACTCACTGAAAGGTGAGTTCTTTTAGAGAATGGAAAAGCAAAAATCTACATCTGAAACCTGCTTAGCTTTTAACATGAAGCTTGTGAGCAAGGCAAACCTGTTTGCCTTTCTAATAACAGATGTGGTAGTTTTAACTAGCTAATGAATTGACTAATGAGCTACCGTGTTTGTTGATTACCTTGGAGTAAGGATGCAGTTGCTTCTTGTCCTCTAGCTGTCAAGCTACAGTTAGCTTAGCTGTTAATATTATCTGAGAAGAATAAATTATGATTTAGATGCTAGATATTTATTAAAATGACTGATTAGTTCATAATCTGCTACATAATCAGCTCTTTTAGATTCTGGTCAACTTTATGGCATCATAGCAAAGGCAGTAAATCCATCATTCCCAGATTACGAGAGGCTTTTTTAAAAATTTTCCTTCTGGAAGAGGAACATGGGAGAGAAATATTAACCCTCTTAGTGTTCTCTGTTTGTCCACAGTTCAAGCCAGGACCTGACAGTAGGCAAGGAAGTGGGGCAATCTTGGGTAATGGTTGGGATTTAACAGTCGAGGTGGAGTTCTTCATCACTGAGCCTACATATTCTTGGAGACCTTGGGGGGGCACCATTAGAACTTGGTAGTCAGAATTCCACTTCCCTTCTGCCCCTGCCTGGTCCTTTGAGCTGGGGCAGACACAGAATTGGTCTGCTTCTGTGGAGATACTGAATCCTGAGTCATCCTAGAGGAGCCACTGCACTCAGAGCAGCCGGTAAGAACTCCATCTCACTCCCTAAGCCCCAGAGATACATCTGGGAGCCAGGGATATTCAGGACACAGCAGCTACCAAAACCCCGCCCCTCCGGAATTCCACTTCCCTTCTGCCCCTTCCTGGTCTTTTGGGCTGGGGCAGACACAGAGTTGGTCTACTCCTGTCCTGTGGAGATACTGAATCCCGAGTCATCCTAGAGGAGCCATTGCATTCAGAGCAGCCAACACAGAGTTGGTCTGCTCCTGTGAAGATACTGAATCCTGAGCCATCCTAGAGGAGCCACTGCATTCAGAGCAGCAGACACCAAGGTGGTTTGCACTTGGGAGACATCGTATCCTGAGCTATCCTAGAGGAACCACTGCACCCAGAGCAGGAGGATTTACAGATCCAAGAAGTGGCCTGAGTCCCAGGAGTTCTTCCACCCAGGAGATTAGGATCATAAGACCACAGAGACATCTGGACTCTGAGGAGCTCTGCAACAAGCAAGATAACTGGAAATATAGACTCCAGTCTTACACAGTGAGGGCAGGTAACACTAGAGTTAACCAGATGGCGAAAGGCAAGCGCAAGAACATAAGCAACAGAAACCAAAGTTTCTTGGTATCATTAGCACCCAGTTCTCCCAATATAGCAAGCCCTGGACACCCCATTACACCGGAAAAGCAGGATTCAGAATTAAAATCACTTCTCATGATGATGATAGAGGATTATAAGAAGGAATTAAGTAACTCCCTTAAAGAAATACAGGAGAGTACAAGTAAACAGGTAGAAGCCCCTAAAGAGGAATCACAGAAATCCCTTAAAGAAATGCAAGAAAACACAAAGAAGGAATTAACAAAAACATATGAAAATGGAAATAGAAACAATAAAGAAAGCTCAAAGGGAGACAACCATGGAGATAGAAAACCTAAGAAAGAGATCAGGAGTCATAGACGCAAGCATCACCAACCGAATACAAGAGATAGAAGAGAGAATCTCATGTGCAGAAGATAACATGGAAAACATTGACCACAGCTGTCAAAGAAAATGCAAAAATGCAAAAACTCCTAACTGAAAACATCCAGGAAATCCAGAACACAATGAGAAGACCAAACCTAAGGATAATAGGTATAGATGAGAGTGAAGATTTCCAATTTAAAGGGTCAATAAATATCTTCATCAAAATAATTGAGGAAAACTTCCCTAACCTAAAGAACAAGATGCCCATAAACATACAAGAAGCCTACAGAACACCAAATAGACTAGACCAGAAAAGAAATACCTCCCGTCACATAGTAATCAAAACATCAGATGCACAAAACAAAGAAAAAATACTAAAAGCAGTAAGGGAAAAGGTCAAGTAACATATAAAGGCAGACCTATAAGAATTACACCAGACTTCTCACCAGAGACTATAAAAGCCAGAAGAGCCTGGACTGACATCATACAGAAGCTAAGAGAACACAATTGCCAGCCCAGATTACTATACCCAGCAAAACTCTCAATCACTATAGATGGTGAAACCAAGATATTCCATGACAAAACCAAATTTGCACAGTATCTTC